TAGGGTATTATATAGGGGAATATTATAGTGAGTATTAAGGGGGATACTAGGAGATTAGACTATGGCTTATAAAACCGCTATTCCAATTATAGTAGTTTCCTTTTTTAATTTTCCATTCTTCCCTATATTCCCCTAAATTATCCCAATATACTCAAACCAAGACTGATGATGACAAAATCTTCTTGAACTCCTACAAGGCATCCCTATACCTGAATTCTCAGGGTATCTAGCAATTGGCTATTGTGACGTATAGCCCATGCAAGTGTAAGGCCAGGGCTTGCGAACGAACATCCATCCTGCTTCAATATCCGGCAAATCAGGCCTGTAACACTTTTGGATCAGCTTAGATTCTGCATAACTCGAGCCAGAATTCGGGCAGACTGCCTGGGGGAATCTAAGACAGCAAGGCACCTTGCCCTAATACGAGGCCTTGTATACATGTGATAATATATATATATACAGGGTTTAGGGTTTTGGGTTAGGGTTTAGGGTTCCTTGTATATTGCAGCACATATCCAAGTGAGGGGTGAGGGGATTGTTTGCTAGTCGGGAAAGTTTTCAACACGTGTTACGCTTGTTTTCTGCCTCAGCTGTGCTGCGGACCCCAAATTGCGTTCAGGGTTTAGGGTCTGCGACCAACAGCTGCAGGCATTTAGGGCTTATTGTTCATACCAACCTTCGAATCGGAAACCCCAACCCTAAACCCTAAACCCTAAACTCTTGGATCCCCCAAAACTTGTACCCTCAAATCTGAAGTTCCACTACGAAGTACGATTCCTCTAACCTTGAAACCCTCAGTTGGAAGCCTTCCGCCTTGACAACCCCAAGGTTAAGGGTGTAGGCCGTAAGGTTGATTTAAAGTGTTAGGGGTCAGGATTTAGGTGTTGAGGTTTAGGGTTTAGGGCTTAGAGTCTAAGGTTTAGGGTTTAGGGGTTAAGGTCTAGGGTTTAGGGTTCAGGGTTGCGGATTGGGGCTCTGCAAACCCTGAGAAGCCAGAAGCCAGAACTTACAAGTCCAAGCATCAGTCTTCCAGCCTTCGGGGGTTTAGGGTTTAGGGGGCGGGTAGGGTTTGGCGTTTCAAAGTGTAGCCTGTCCCAAACTCACCTGGAAACCCCACACAGCACTGAGGTAGAATGACAAAAGTGTTTTGCAACGACCCAGACACCTAAGTCCTCAACCTTACCCAAAGGGTCCATGTACCCAATAATTAGGTACTTGGGTTTAAGGCAATAGTAATGATAGTACAGGTTTTGGGTAAGTATATGATTATTGGGTACTTGGACCCTTAGGGTTATCCCTAAACCCTAAACCCCATACACGCCAACCAGGACCATGAAGATAGCAAGCTCCGATGAGGAGCTGGCCTTCAAGCAGAAAGAGAGGGAGCTGGCTTCCTACACACGGAAGGCTCTAGGGTTTAGGTGCTTTTGTTGTTTCATGTGTTTTTCAACGTGTTTTAGGGTGTTTATGGTTTTTAGTGTTTTTGTCTGTGTGTTTAAGGTTTTTAGGCGTTTTACGATTTTCTAGGGTATAGGGTTTAGGGTTCGCAGTTTAGCGTTTCGGGTTTGAAGTTTAGGGCTTGGGCATCGGGTTTAGGTGGCTAGAAGATACCCCGGTGATGCAGCTTACGCGTCTGCAGCAGCCTTTGAACTGTTCTTTCGCTTCCTTGTGGTTCATACTTACTAGGGGCTTCTAGGTAACAAGGGAATACAGAGACATCATACAGGGATTATACAGGGATTATCTTCCCTTATTCCTTGCTAAGCCCCAGTAAGTTGTGGTTCTTAAGGAACGGAGCAGTGGATGCTCCCTCCAGCCCTTATGCTTTGTTTGGCATCCGTGGAGGTAGTCTTTAGGGTCCAGGGTGTAAGAAGTTAAGGTTGGGTTTAATGGTTGATGGTTTAGGGTTCCAGGGTTTAGGGCTTCATCGCTGATGAAGCTCATATGCCAATACCTCGAGTTTTTCTGCACGTCTCATTTTCAGATAAGCAAAAAAAGAGTTCCATAAATTGGGGGAAACCCTCATGTACACCAAAACACTCAGTCCTGTCTAAATGTACCCCAGAACAGGGTCCCTAACGTTTAAAACTCCCAAATAGCACGGTAACCCTTCTCCAAACATTGGAAATCTGGTCCTACATGGCTCCACTGTAGCTAGGTCACCCCAGACTTTGTTCTTTGGAACCTTCGCCGGTTTGCGTCTGAGGGTTAGGTCACCTAAGACTGTGTTCTGTGGAAGCCTAGCCGGTTTAGGATACAGGTTTTAGGGCTTAGGGACCCTAAGTGCTAGCGTGGGTAGCCTTGTTGTGCGTAATGCTATCCCTGCTGCCTTTCTCAGCTTTGCGGGCTCGATACAAATATACCCCTTGGTGGTTCAATTGCTTTGCGTTTCTGCCTAGGGGAAAGGGAATGGGATATATACAGATATGTACGTATACATGTATGTAGATACAGGATTGATGGGTATGTAGGTGGCGGTCGTTTAGGCAACGGATTAACAGCCCACCAACCCACCAACCTTAAACCTACTTGGAGGTTCATGGGAAATAGTAACCACTCATAACTGGGCTTACTCCCCTACTCATAACCCCCCTAAATGGCTGTAGAGGGGGTACCCCAATTATTTATAACCCCGGTTATAAATACCAGGATCATCGTTTTGACGGGTTGGGGTCAAAGATAGTAAAGCGACGTATGGATGTATAGGCTGTTCTCCATGCTCGACCAACAGCCATCAGTGACACGATTTTGCCTCTATGTCGCCCACTCTCCAGCAAGCTTTTTGCGATGCCATCGTACTCCCACATAGGCGGAGTACCGAAACAACACCTGGGATCCCAAATCAGTGGGGTGACACAGGCACGCGAGCATCTTCACCCGCCCCACCTTAGTTATAGCAGCGAATCATGGATCCAGTATACCCAACGGACTTTCATTATAGGCTAGCAGCCAGATCTTCGTCGCTGTAGGTACTCGTGCGAAGAGGAGAGGTCACACATACTTGCTCGTATACCAGGTGCTCCAGCCTAAGTTCTGAAATCATGGCTGTTTGACGCCATGGTGCGCCTGCTTGGATCTGCGTGCAGGCTTGGAAAAGGTAGGGTTTAGGGGCAGGGTTCAAGTTCAGCGTGTCAAAGCTGTAAACGCAGAGAAGCAGCACATGTTGCTTGGGGCGAAGCTTCCACAGAAGCTTCGCTTCGTTGAAGGCATGGATGGCACAATCTTAGATGAA